TATTTAACATTGTGCTGGGGGTCCTAGATAGAGCAATAAGGCAAGAAAAAGAAAAAAAGGAGATCCAAATTGGTGAGGAAGACATAAAACTGTCCCTATTTGCAGATGATATGATACTATACATAGCGAACCCAAAGGTATCCACAAGAAAGCTACGGATAGAAAGATTCAGCAGAGTAGCAGAATATAAGATAAACATACAAAAATCAGTTGGATTCCTATACACCAATAAAGAGAACTACAAAAAGGAAATCAGGAAAGCAGTATCATTTATAATAGCCCCTAAAAATACAAAATACTTAGACTTAGGAATAAAGCTAACTAGAGATGTAACAGACCTTATACAAAGAAAACTACAAAGCACTACTGCAAGAAACCAAAAGAGACCTACATAAATGGAAAAACATACCTTGCTCGTGAACAGGAAGACTCAACATTGTGAAAATGTCAATTCTACCCAAAGCAGTCTACAAATACAATGCAATCTCAATTGAAATACCAACAGGATTCTTTAACGAGATGGAAAAACTAACCACTAACTTTATATAGAAAGGAGAGAGGCACTGGATAGGTAAACCACTATTAAAGAAGAATAAAGTAGGAGGACTCCCACTGCCTGATCTCAGAACTTACTATACAGCTACAGTAGTCAAAACAGTCTGGTACTGGTACTGCAACAGACATATAAACTAATGGAAGAGAATCGAGAACCCAGATGTAAATCCATCTGCCTGCAGTCACCTAATCTTTGACAAAGGCCGAAAGTCCATTAAATAGGGAAAAGACAGTCTTTTTAACAAATGGTGCTGGCAAAACTGGATGTCCATCAGTAAAAAAATGAGACAGGACCCATACTTCATACCATACACAAAAACTTATTCAAAATGGGAAAAAGACCTAAATATAAAACCAAAAACTATAAAGATCATATAAGAAAAAAATAGCATCAACACTAGAGGCCCTAATACCCAGCATAAATAGGATACCTACCATAACTAACAATACACAGACACCAGAACATAAACTAGAAAAATGGGATCGTCTGAAAATTAAACACTTCTGTTCATCAAAAGACTTCACCAAAAGAGTAAAAAGAGAAGCTAAAGAATGGGGAAAATTTTTTGGCTATGACAAATCCGACAAAAGTCTAATCTCTAAAATCTATAAGAACACCTCTACAACAAAAAGGCAAATAATTCAATTTAAAAAATGGACAAAGGATATGAACAGACACTTCACCAAAGAAGACATTCAGGTGGCTAACAGACCCATGAGGAAATGCTTGCGGTCACTAGTGATCAGAGAAATGCAAATCAAAACTGCAATGAGATATCATCTCGCCCTAACATTACTGGCACGAATCGAAAAAACACAAAATAACAAATGTTGAAGAGGCTTCAGGGAGATTGGAACTGTCATGCACTGCTGGTGGGAATGTAAAATAGTATAATCATTTTGGAAAATGATATGAAGTTTCCTTAAAAACCTAGAAATAGCAATACCATATGATCCAGCAATCTCACTCCTAGGAATATATCCTAGAGGAATAAGAGCCATCACACAAATAGACATATGCGCACCCATGTTCATTACAGCATTCATTACGCACAATAGCAAAAAGATGGAAACAACCAAGGTACCCATCAACAGATGAATGGAAAAACATACTATGGTACATACACACAACAAAATACTATGCAACAGTAAAGAACAATGATGAATCTGAGAGACATCTCACAACATGGATGAATCTGGAGGACATTATGCTGAGTGAAATAAGTCAATTACAAAAGGACAAATACTGTATGAGACTACTATTATAAAAACTCATGAAAAGGTTTACACACAGAAAGAAACAATCTTTGATGGTTAGGAGGGAGGGGAGGACTGAGGAGGGAAAAACACTAAATAGACAATAGATAAATGGTAACTTTGGTGAAGGGTAAGAGTACACACTACTGGGGAAGTCAGCACTACTTGACCAAGGCAAGGTCATGGAAGCTTCATGAACACATCCAAACTCCCTGAGGATCTGAATTGCTGGGCTGAGGGCTGGCTAGGGACCGTGGTCTCTGGGGACATCTAGCTTAATTGGCATAACATAGTTTATAAAGAAAATATTCTATGTCCTACTTTGGTGAGCAGTGTCTGGGGTCTTAAAAACTTGTGAGCTTCCATCTAAGATACTCCACTGGAGCAAGGGAGAATAAAGAAAACCAAAGACACGAGGAAAAGATTAGTCCAAAGGACTAATGGACCACAAGTACTGCAGCCTCCACCAGACTGAGACTAGCATAACTAGATGGTGCCCGGCTACCACCACGATAGAGGGTCCCAGACAGAGCAGGAGAAAAATGTAGAACAACGATTCAAATTCACATACACACACAAAAAAGACCAGGCTTGCTGGTCTGAGAGAGACTGGGAAAACCCCAAGAATATCGCCCCTGGACACCCTTTTAACTCAGTACTGAATTTGTTCCCGAGATTCACCCTTTAGCCAAAGATTAGACAAGCCCATAAAACAAACAATAATACACTTAGCTCAAAAAGGAAGAAGGGGATAGGAAAGCTGGACGAATGGAAATGGGGAACCTAAGGTCAAGAAAGAGTGAGTGTTGACACATAGTGGGGTTGGCAACCAATGCCACAAAACAATATGTATATTAATTGTTTAATGAGAAAATAATTTGCTCTGTAAACATTCATCTGAAGCACAATTAAAGAAAAGAAAGAAATTAGGACATTTCCAGATAAACAGAAATAAAGGGAATATGTAAAAACAAAACCAAATCTACAAGAATTATTAAAAGGAATCTTTTAGTTAGAGAACCAACAACATCAGACAACAAACTGAATCTAGGACACAGGACAGCATCATCCAGATACCATCCTAAGTAATGAACTCTCAAGGATAAAACAGAAGTAAAAGATTTACTTCAGGAAATCAGAGACTTTAATCTGTAAATGACAACAACGTCAGAATAATAAAAGGGAAAATGAACAGTGTAGATACAGAATTTCAAAGGGAGAGGAAGTCAAGGCAATAGCAAATAATAATAGATTGGCTCAAATTTAGGAAGATATGGGTAATCTTCTAGGTAACCACAAAGAGTTAATAAGCCTACTTATCAAAATAAAGAAGGAAAACATACTCAGTAAACACAAAAACTATAAAAACGAAAGAAACAAAAAGAAATTCCACAAACAAAAGGAACTCAACACAAGAGAGTAAGGGGAACAAAGAAAACATCAGCACCACAAAAAAAAAAAAGCACCACAAAATGACAGCAATAAACTCACACATGTAGATAATCACACTGAATGTAAATGGCTCAGATGCACCCATAAAGAAACAGAGTGACAGAATGGATTAAAAAACAGAACCCATCAATATGCTGTCTACAAGAGACACACCTTAGAAACAAAGACATAAATATATTAAAAATCAAAGGATGGGGAAAAATATATCAAGCAAACGGCAACCAGAAAAGAGCAGGAGTAGCAATACTAATCTCAGATAAAATAGACTTTAAGGCAAAATTCATCCTCACTTACAAGGAGCACTCTGGCTGTATGTCTTCCAAGATGACTTGTTTGTTCTTCTGGCAGTCAGTGTTATATTCAACACCAACACCATAATTCAAAGGCAGAAATTCGTCTTCAATCTTCTTTGTTCATTGCCCAGCCTTTGCATGCATATGAGGTGATTGAAAATACCATGGCTTGGGTCAGGCGCGCTTAGTACTGTAAGTGATATCTTTGCTTTTTAACACTTTAAAGAGGTTTTTGGCAGCAGATTTGACCAATGCAGTACATGTTTGATTTCCTGACTGCTGCTTCCATGGATGTTGATTGTGGATCCAAGTAAAATGAAATCCTTGACAGCTTCAACATTTTCTCCGTTTATTACGATGTTGCTTATTGATCCAACTGTGAGGAAAATCACCATGACCGCATAGCTTTCAAAGTGCTCTATTATTGTATAAGGCTATGTTTCCACTCTCACCAATACAGCAAGCCAATTTTTCTCAAGTGAGAATTTTAGTAATTATGATACTTCTGCACTCCACAGTTATCACCACCCAACCTAACACCAGCGATGTGCTCCATTGCTCCCTGGACAGCAAGTGATCCTAAACAAGAATCCTTTCCTGAGTGTCCTCTCAGGACCACTTCTGTACTTGTCCTAGGTTGAGTTCCCCCAGAAGATCATGAGGAAAGTATTTGAATATAAGTAGTTTGTTAGGAAGATGATTCCAGGAAGAACAGTAGGACAGTGGGGATGTGAGACATAGAAAGGTATGTAGTCAATACTGTGTATGGTAATAATAAGTTACCACTGAGGGAAATTGGGATTCAGACCTCTGAGAAATGGTCCTCTTAGAACATGCCTCCGAGTTATCCCACTCAATATGTAGGATAACTGGGATTTGTTACCACCAACTCACACCTGTATTTGACTAAGAGACTCTTCTGGAGCCATTAAAACATCCTATCTGTCCTTCCTGAGAGCACACAAAGTTTGCCTCTGTTCTCAGAGGAAGCAAGATAGTTCTCAGGCAGACAGTCATAGGTGTTCTCAGTAAGAAGTCATCACAATGGACACGGATTGTGAATGCCACAGGAATATAAGAAATGTATCATTTAACTTTGTGAAAGAAACCAACTCAGAACACAGTGGTTAAAAGAACAACCATTTTATTTGCTCACAGTACTACATTGGGCTGCATTGTCTAGCTGAATGTTCTAGAAAGTCTCACTAATACCTGAGGGCCTCTCTGGGTATGGCCAGGATGGTTGAAACAGCTGGAGCCTCTCTTCCTCTAGTCTTTCATTCTGCATTAGACTAATGTGTGTTACTTCAAATGATGGACTCAGGGTCTCAATAGCAAGAAAGAGCAAGACACCAAGCACAGTGCTTTTCAAGTCTGTTTTTATTTTTGCCGATACCTTATTGAACAAAACAAGTCACAACACCAACCTAGATTAAGTGTACATTATAGTGAAAACTTTCTTCTACTGAGTATATTTCGCAGAGCTCCTTTAATGTCCCTATTTCTCAGACTGTAGATAAAGGGATTTAGCATGGGAGTGACCAGAGTGTACAATACAGCCAAAATGACATCCTTGCCATTGGAGTCACTGGGTGAGGGGAAAATGTACAATCCAATAATTACCCCATAGTAAAGAGACACAACAGAGAGATGAGAACCACAAGTGGACAAGGCTTTGCAGATCCCCTTGGTCGAGGGGACTCTCAGGATGGTGGACCCAATGCGACCATAAGAGACCAGGATGCATATGAGTGGAAGGGTAATGACCACGCCCCCTGCAGTAAGAATAATGAGCTCATTTGTTGTGGTGTCTGAGCTGGACAGCTTCAGTAAGGCAGAGATGTCACAGAAGAAGTTGGGGAGAATGTTGTCTCCATAAAAGGACAGTCGGGCCAGGAGCAGGGTGTGCAACAGAGCACTGGCAAAAGATAAGACCCAGGACACAATTACTAGCAAGAAACACAGGCTCTGACTCATGATAGTGGGATAGTGGAGGGGGTGACAAATGGCCAAGTACCTGTCATAGGCCATTGAGGTGATAAGGAAACTGTCAATATCAGCAAAGAATATGGAAAAATACACCTGACAAATGCACCCACTATATGAGATGGATTGACTGTGTGTCTGCATGTTCATCAGCATCTTTGGTGCTGTGACTGATGAGAAAGAGATGTCAGTGAGGGCTAAGTGGCTGAGAAAGAAGTACATGGGTGTGTGGAGGTGGGAGTCCAGCCTGATGAGCAGGAAGATTAGCAGGTTTCCCAGCACTGTGGTGATGTACACGCCCAGGAACAGGGCGAAGAACATTCCCTGCTCCTGTGGCTGTATGGGGAGCCCTACAAGAAGGAATTCAGACACATTGCTCTGATTATCTCTCCTCATCCTGTTCTTCTTTTTTTGCTGTAGGTGAAAAGACATATGGAAATGCGAAAGAATAAGAAGTCATTCTAATGTCCAATAATGAGAACATGTTTTTGAACTAATCAATATGTAAACCTTAATCTGAATATCTAATGCATTTTTCCCAGGTAATTGAGTAGTAATGATCTGACCTGTTTATTATGTGTCCATCTAGAAAACAACAAAACTCTTTTGTGGGAACCATGAAGCATCAGAACGATTTATCAGATCAGACCATGTTTAAACTTGAGAAGTTCGTTTATAACAGGAATCTGAGATTAAGAAACTAGGGTGCAAGGCTTGGTCAGTAACTAGTTGTTAGAAAGGCTCTCCAATTGGTCCGTTGGTGGCTCTTGACCCTACTTATTCCTCTCACACAATATTTGGCTAATGTTTGACTTCCATAAATTGGATCAAGTTAAGAGACCTAGTGGGCTGCTCTGGATCTCACAGAAAGAAATTAGGATTTGGATACTTGGTGAGAAACATCATAAGTAACTAGACAAGGTAAAGTCATTAAGGACAGGAATCTAGATCAATAACAAAGATCTAGTGACGTACCTTGTAATATAGCCAGGAGTCCTTCCTTCAACAAAATCCCTTCCCACTCCTCAACATTTTTGGTCCACCATCACTCCTTCTAAAGGAATGTTTTTTGAAAGGAAAAGAATAAAGACTAGTTTCTCTTCCAAGTTCTGACCTGATTTATTTCCTCAATTCAAGCCAGATCACTTTTGTTCAAGTTTTCACAACACTATGGAAGATGTTGGCTTTTCCAGTCATACCTTGTAATGGTCCAAGAAGAAGGTCTTTGTAATTGTTTGTCTAGGCTAGTTTACCAAATAGCACCTTCTCCTTTCAAACTGATCCTAACCTAGTTGTATGCCAGTGACACACGCCTGATTTTTTCTCATTTAGAATGTTCCTTATGCTCTGAATACTATCATTCCTCTCTCGTCTTCAGATCAGTTAGTCTTAGTCCGATTCATATGAACATTGACAAAATAGTAAGAAAAAGAAATATGATGCCTGTGTCTCTTACAAAATAGAACTCATGTAATATATAAAGAATGCTAATCAATCTCAAGGTCTTTCACTCTGCAGGCTGAGAGGTGCCTCATTAAAAGACCCATGATTCACATTGGGTATTAACCAAAGATTTCAGAATCTACAAATTCTCCCAACTTGACTAAAACACAAAAACCAAACTAGTTGCCATCAAGTTGATTCTGACTTGTTTTGATCTTACGTGTTTTAGAGTAGAACTGCATACCATAAAGGTTTCAATGACTGTGATCTTTGGCAAGCAGATTGCCAGAACTTTGTTTTGAGACACCTCTGGTTAGATTTGAACTGCCAACCTTTTTGTTATCAGCCAAGCTCTTAACCATTTGTGCTAACCAACAACTCTCCAATTTTAAACATGGTATCTAAAACCCCTACGTTCTTCTGTCCACTAAGTTTTAAATGCTGTTAAGAAGACATTGTTACCTGAGAAGAATTATACATTCAATTTGGCTGAACATTACTATGTTAATCATAATCACAAATATATCATTATAAGAGTGCTAATTGGCTGACTGACATTTAGGGTGCTTGTAATGTTTTGTTATTTCTAGCAATACCACAATAAATAACATGGCTCCTATGTCATTTTGCGCATGGGCAAATATATTAGTAATTTCTAGAAATGAAATTGCAGGGTATGTGTATTTATGATTTTAACAGATATTGTTAAATTAAAAGAAGCTAAGGTTGCAAGAAAGCCCATTGTGATGGATTCTGTTAAATTAGTCCTACATAATAAGAAAGAGCATGTCATGTGAAGTTTCTAGAAATGGGCAATCTAGGTAAGTGTAAGAACTTGAAAGAGAAAAGGGCTAGGGTATTTGAGGAACAGAGAAAATGCAGGAGTATCATGAGCAAGGGAAGGATCTGAGGTTGGAGAATTATCTAGGAGGCAGATTATGTCATGCCTGTTCTACCTTACTAGAAAGTTTTAATTCTATTTTCAGAGCAATAGAACACCCATGAAAAGATTTATCAAATGAGTGATTTAAAAATTTTAAATATCTTGCTGGCTACTAAGTGGAGAACAGAATATAAGAAGGCAAGAGTGTCAACAGGGATCTTAATAGAAGGCTATTGCAGTAGTTCAGGTACAAATTAATGGCTGTGTGTACCTGGATTATGGCAGGGATGATGAGGATAATTGAGGAGATTTGGGATAAAATTTGGAGGAAAAAAACAACAGAACTCAATGGGGGATTAAAAACAAATGAGATGAGATAGGTGTTTACCCCATCCTCTAAAAATTTGGTAAATGATCCATTCCAGATAAATTAGTCTACATGAGGCTGTCTATCTTAATCTTGTTTAAGGAGTAGAATCATGCTAGCAATCATGAGCATACACTGAACACCTGCACAGGTAAACACACACAAACGCAGATAATCATATGACTGAATCTAAATTATACTCTTGCTGTAAAATGGGCTCTCACGTGATGAGCACAGATACCTTCAGCTACAAGGCATGGGATAGTTCTTCCATTTCTTTCATGAAGACCCAGAATCCAAAAAAGAAACATGCAGAGTCTCTAAGAGTCTCAGAGATACATTGCAGCAGGAAGAAGAGTTAGTTATCTGTTCACAACCAAACAAGGTGGATCTATTCAGCCACTATTGTTCACAACTCCTGAGCAATGGGCTTGAGATCTAACTTTATAAACCATGGAGAGGACCCCAGATGTAAAGAACCCCAAACTCCAAATTAGAGACAAACAACAAATAATCACTAAATTTTCTTTTTGGCTTCCCATGGGTGTAGAACTGTTTGTTGATAGCAGGCAATAGGAGAGTTCAGCCTTGGGGAATGATGATAACAGACACAAAAATCCACTAGGAACTTAGTGGTTCACAAAACTTTTTGCCCTCTCAGTTTACACTGGGGAAAATGTGATTAAGGGAGCCCATAATAATCCAAGTTGGAGGTTGTAACCCAGGTCTCTTGCCTCTGAACCCCTTGTTAGTTCAAGAACCCTACCTTTGCACCAACATTTGATGTCAATTTTTTTTTCATTTTTGCCGTTATAGTGGGTTTGCTATGGTATCTCATTTTTTGTTTTTTTTGTTTTTTTTTTTTTCATTCCTATGTTGACTAAGGGTGCTGAGCAGTTATTCATGTACTTATTGACCCTATCTTCTCTTGCAAAATATTTATTCAAGTCTTTTGTTATTGAGCTTTTTACCTTTCTTATTAGTGAGTTGTAGGAGATCTTGATATATTCTTGATACAAGTTGTTTGTTAGACCTATATATATGAAATATTTTCTGTGGCTTGCCTATTTATTTTTTTGAAGGTGTCATTTGATAAGACATATTTTAATTTTGATGGATTCTAATCAATCATTTTTTTCTTTTACATATTATGTTTTCTGTGTTCTCGCTAAGAAATCTTTGCTTCTCCAACATCACAGAGATTTTTTTTGTTTTGTTTTATTTTCTTCTAGTGGTTTTGTTGTTTTGGCTTTTACATTTCAATCAATCTGTATTTTTTTTATCTGCCTGCTTTTGCTCAATAAAAGGTTAGTGATATTCATCAGTGTTGCTTAAAATAATTTCTAATTTTCCTTTTAATTTCTTCTTTAACCTGTAAGCTAGTTAAAGTTCTTTCGTGGTGTTTTCAATTATTTAGTTTATTTTCCAGAAATCCTTCTGTTATTGATCTGAACTTAATTTCATTGTGGCCAGAACACATGATAAGTATGACTGGAATACTTGTAAATTTACTGAAACTTGTTTTGGTAATTATTAAAAACTGTATACTCAGTTTTTCTTTTTCTGGGGGAAGGGTTTAAGAATATTCTATAAATATCAGTTAAGTTGGCTCATTTGTTGTTGTTGTTAGTTGCTATCCAATCACTTCCGACTCATGGTGACCTTATGTATAATATAATGAAACATTGCGTTGTCGGTTCATAGAGTTGTTCAAATCTTCTATATCTTTATTGATTTTCTGTCCATTTACTATATCAATTATGGAAAGAGGCCTTGTGAAATGATTCGACTATAATTGTGGATTTGTCTTTTTCTCCTCAGTTTTTATTTCACGTATTTTGAAGCTATCGTTATTAGGTACACGGAAGTTTAGAAATGTTAGCTCCCCTAACGCCTCGACCCCTTTGTCATTAAGAATAAATCTCTTTATTCTGGATAATATTTTTTGCTCTGGAATCTACTTTTTTATATTAATATAACAATCCCAGCTTGATTTTAATTCGTGTTAGCATAGTATTTTTTTTCCTACCTTTTACTTTTAACCCATTAGTCATAATAATTGTTTTAATGCCCTTATCTGCTCTAATTATCATCTACATCATTTCTGGGTCAGTCTCCATTGACTGATTTTTCTCCTCATTCTGGGTTTTATTTTCCATCCCTGGTAATATTTGACTGGGTGGTAGACATTGAAGATTTTAACTTGTTGATTGCTGGATATTTTTATATTCCTACAAATAGTGTTAGCTTTGTTCTGAGATGCAGTTATGTTACTTGGAAAAAGTTTAATCATTTCAGGTCTTGTTTTTAAGCTCTGTTAGGTGGAACCAGAACTGCACTTAGTCTAGGGTCAATTTTTCCCCACTACAGAGTCGAGATATTTCTTTCTTTCTTTTTTTAAATTTTATTGTTCTTTCGGTGAAAGTTTACAGCTCAAATTAATTTCATATTCAAAAATTCATACACATGTTGTTTTGTGACATTGGTTGCAATTCCCACAATGTGACAAGACGCTCCCCTTTCCACCCCAGGTTCCCTGTGTGCGTGCATTCATCCAGTTCCTGTCCCTTCCTGCCTTCTCATCTTGCTTTTGGACAGGAGTTGCCCATTTTGTTTCCCATGTTTGTTTGAACTGAGAAGCATGTTCCTCATGTGTTTTATTTTTTGTTTTATAGTCCTGTTTAATCTTTGTCTGAAAAGAAGGCTTTGGGA